TTGACGGTAACTTGTCAACACAACCGCGTAGTTATTTCCAGTGTGCAAATCGCACAAGGACCTCGCTCACCCTCGTACCGTGCTCAGCTCAGCCAGGTCAGCGAGCCATGGCAGCGAATCCGCAGCTGGACGGCCAGGGGATCCCCGTGCCGTTCGTGGGCGAGGTGATGGTGCTTCGGCGCGACGGCATCGAGTTCCACGTCGATAAGATGCCGCAGTGCGTATTACCTATACGGCGTATTAACAACACAGCGTATGACCAAAACAGTCACTGGTCACTAGTCACTGTGGAGACATCTCTAAAGATTCGGCAGGGTGACTTCTCTTCGTCTCCCTCCCGCCCACCACCCCGTCGTTCTTCGCTATCGCTTTCTTTTTTTCGCCGTTCCTCGCTTTCGCTCACCTCACCTCACTACGCACCCTCCGTGTCCGTCGCTCCTATTTCGACTTCCAGCAACTGCTCTACTACCTCAACTCTCCAAATTTCCTCCTCCCATCCTCTCTCACCTCATCTCTCACGCCCTTCCGCCTCATCATCATCACCCCACTCTTCCGTCACACCCAAATCTCCCCTCCCCCCTCGCCTCTCCCCGCTTCCCCGCGCCGCACCTCCCGCGTCACCGCAGGGCACCGAGCGGCAAGTGGGTGTGTCGCGGGTCGCTCTTCCTGTCCAACATCCGCATGGTCTTCGTCGCCCAGCCGTCCACCCAGCCGCCGCTCCTCGCCTTCGACATGCCCCTTGTATGTCCCCTTCTGGCCTCGCCTCGCCCATGACTTTTGAGGCGCCTCAAAAGTCTCCCAGCCGCCGCTCCTCGCCTTCGACATGCCCCTTGTATGTCCCCTTCTTTCCTCGCCTCGCCCATGACTTTTGAGGCGCCTAAAAAGTCTCCCAGCCGCCGCTCCTCGCCTTCGACATGCCCCTTGTATGTCCCCTTCTGGCCTCGCCTCGCCCATGACTTTTGAGGCGCCTCAAAAGTCTCCCAGCCGCCTCTCCTCGCCTTCGACATGCCTCTTGTATGTCTTATCCTCGCCTCGCCCATGTCAGCGCCTACTTCTTCACCTTCCAGTCCTCTCATTCCTCCCTCTCACTCACTCACGCTCTTTTGTTCCCTCCGTCCCTCCTTCTCCGCTGCTTCCTTCCCTCCCTCCTTCTCTCGTTCTCCTCTAGATCTTTCTCCCCCTCGCCTACCATTTCCTTTCCCCCTCCCATGCCCTTCTGCAATTAGTATCTCCAGCATTCACAGCCAACAGCCAGCCGACATGTCGAAAGCACTCTTTTCTTTCTCAAAGCCTTACACATTCGTTCTCTTTTCTTTGTTAGGTTAAATAGTAGGCTCTGACATGCAAAACATATCGTCCCGCGGTCTTACAATTCAACCTTTCCTGGCATGCCCTTAGCACTTTAGGCGTACCTCCCATATCGGCTCTCCCCCATTCTCCCCCTCATCCCCTCCTCCGTCGCTCATCGTACCTTGGCGCCTCTCCCGCCTCCGCCCCTCCGCCCCTCCACACTCCCCATGGCAGTTGTACGTGCATGGGGAGAAGTTCAACCAGCCCATATTCGGAGCCAACAACATCTCAGGCGTCGTGCTGCCTGTAAGCACTGAGCCCCACCCCTGCCGCCCTCCCCCGCTCGCTCCTCCCTCTAGTCTAACTCTCTTGCTTCTCCCTTGCCTTGTCTGTTTGTGTGTTTCCACTTGACCTTGTGTGGTTCCACTTGACCTTGTGTGGTTCCACTTGACCTTGTGTGGTTCCACTTGACCTTGTGTGGTTCCACTTGACCTTGTGTGGTTCCACTTGACCTTGTGTGGTTCCACTCGGCCTTGTGTGGTTCCACTCGGCCTTGTGTGGTTCCACTCGGCCTTGTGTGGTTCCACTCGGCCTTGTGTGGTTCCACTCGGCCTTGTGTGGTTCCACTCGGCCTTGTGTGGTTCCACTCGGCCTTGTGTGGTTCCACTCGGCCTTGTGTGGTTCCACTCGGCCTTGTGTGGTTCCACTCGGCCTTGTGTGGTTCCACTCGGCCTTGTGTGGTTCCACTCGGCCTTGTCTGGTTCCACTCGGCCTTGTGTGGTTCCACTCGGCCTTGTACTGCTCTGGCAGTCCGTGTTGGCTCCACACCTATCGCTGTCCAACTTCCCTACACATGTCCGCCGCCCTCACCCCACCCCATCCCACCTCACCCAGCCTCACCCTTCCTCATCCCACCCAAACCCTTTCACCCCACCTCGCCCCGTCTGACCTCACTCAAACCACCCCCTTCAGGTGGCGGACAGCAGTGTGCATGCAGCCATGCAGGCCCCGCACGCCTTCACAATCTACTTCATGCATGGCGGCGTGGGCACCTTCCTGCCGCTCTTCTTCTCCATCCTCCGCGGCCTCCGCGCCTCCGCCCACCCCTCCTCCTTCCCCGCCTCACCTGCCGCCGCACCAGGCGACTCCTTCACCTCCACCACCTCCTCTGCTTCTCCCTCTGCTGCTTCCCCAGCCATGGATCCTCTCCCGTCGCAGCGCCTGCCAGTGGATGAGATGATGCGCAGTGCATACATGGATCCCAATGATCCCACCACCGTGTACCTGCAGCAGCCCTCCTCGTTCTCCTCGCAGGGGCTCAGGCGGAGGGACACATACAGGCCCCCTGCTCCCACCGCGTAGTGAGAGAGGGAGGCATAAATAGAGAGAGCCCGGCCCGAGGTGCGGCTGGGGAGGGAGGGACGGCTGCTGCTGCTGCTGCTGCTGCTGCTGCCGCTGCTGCTTCTGCCGCTGCTGCTGCTGCTGCTGCCGCTGCTGCCGCTGGTTCAGCCTTCAGGCGTGTTTTTCTTTTCGGCAAGAGAGGTCTCAGCTCAGCACACCTTTGTAGTATGCAGGAGTTTAGGTTGTACAGCAGGTGCTATTTCTTTGCACCACACCACACCCACTACAGCAACAGAAGCATAGGTATATTGGATGAATGAATGGACCATACACTGAGTGTACATGGAGGTATTGTACAATTGCATCCTCAATGCATCATCATAGGATTCTGTACACAAACACTACTAGCAGGAGTGCGGTATGATGAAGCTGAGGGGGACTAACGAGCACCATTCTCAGCAACCCATGTACGGTACTCAGAAAAGTTAACCCTAAACATCACACCACAGCGCGAACCACCCCCCACCCATCACCCACCCACTACTCCGTTTTCCCCTTACCCTTACCCCTATCCCAATCCCCACTCTCCTCCTTATGCTTGAACCCCAGCCGCACCTCCTCCTCCTCCAAATACTCCAGCTGCTTATGCCTCCGCGCCTCCTCCCTCTTTCGCTCCTCCTCCTTCCGCTCAGCCTCGTGTGCTTTCCACTCGGCCCCTGCCCGGTCCTGCTGCTGCTGTAGCCGTTCCATGGCTGCGCGTCTCTGTTCGTCCAGCTGCTGCTTTCTTGAAGAGTGCTGCGCGGAGGAAGAGGCGGGTCTCGTGCTGGCTTGCTCAGGCCGCCGATGCTGCTGCTGGTGTGCCATACCTGTTGAATCCGTAGGAGCTTTGGAACCTGGCAATATGAATGGAAGCAGGTCGAAGGGTGTGTGTACCGTATGTGTATGCGAGGGAGAAAGAAAGAAGGAGAGGAAAGGGCAGAAAGCTGTGGGATCAAGGAAGTGGCGAATGCAGAAGCAGAAGGGTGAGCAGCCCACAGAGAGTAACAAGGTAAGAGCAGGCCTCCGTGGCTGACGTAACAACCGGGAGGAGACTTGGCTATAAAGCCGACTATAAAATCCCCGCGCGCTCATGGACCGAACCTGACTGCGTGAGCGTCGGCTGACGCGGAGCTGGCGGCACAGACGCCTGAGCGCGCCGTTGCCAGCGCCGACGGAGATAGGTCCCTGCGGCGACGACGACGAGAGCCGAGCCGACGAGCAGCGCCCAGGGGTGGGCGAGGAAAAACGAGCTGGCTATGGCGACGCGCGCTGCGGATGTTTCTCCGGACGCTGCGGCGGTGGTGGTGGCTGCTGTGCCGACGAATGTCATGGCTGATACGAGAAGGACGAGCGGAATATATTGCTCGTGGCTCCTGTTGCGTGGGAAGAAAATGAGACCCTGCTGTTGAGTCAATGTTGCCATAGCCATTGGCATAGTTGTTGCCGACGCGCGCTCTGGCGTTGTTGCTTGCATGCTAGGTTGGTGTTCTGGCGTGTCATGTATGTAGATTCGTGTGAGAGCATATCTTGGGGAAGCGCACTGTAACGCGCAGTACCGTCCGGTAACGCACATATGATGTACAAACCGGTTCGTCTTACCCGGGACCATGCTTTCTCCTTGGTTACCTCGTGTCCTCTATTTAGTGTAGTCTACTTTGAGTGACAAGTATTTTCTGTAAAAGCACTTTCATCTCGTACGGTTCACTCTCATGAAGCTTTGCAGTGTACACCGGAACCTCATCCAATCTGATCCATTCCCGATCAGACCGATGAGTGTGGTCCGCCATGGAAAGGCAAACCCAACCTCGCCACAGGCAAAAAACCAAGACTTGTATCCAGGTCGGAACCGCCGAACCAGAAGTTTGCTCACCGAATACACCAGCCTCCTTGCCCCTGGGCAGACCATACCTGCCAGCTCAGACTAGTTGCTGGCTCGGCCATGACACAACGTGTGCCGAAGCTCTCCCTCACCTGCCTCACTTGCCAGCTAGGCAGGTAAGAAGCAGCAGCAGCAGGGGAAGCGTCCCTCGGGATTAGTGGCTACCCCACTGGTTGGTTGGTTCATGCGGCTGACGTGAGGAGTGGTTTATTCGTTGATCCGTTGGCGAGCATCCTAGTCGCAGAATCGGACAACCTCGGTGAACTCGCATCGCATCGCTCGCTAGGATCCTGCGTCATCCTCGCCCTGTTCGACGACATCCCCCATTCGCCCGTCCCTCCTCGTAATTGTCGCCTCGTCGACGTCGCACCTGCTTCTTGCCGTTCCGGCTACTCGCTCCGTCTAATAGTCGCGTCGCGGTTCGTCGGTCGCTGCCTGCTTAGAGGCAGCCATGGTGTCAGCGCTCGTCTCCTCCCACCCATGCCGCCCAGCTATTTTCTCTGCTAGCTGTCACCCCGCTGACACCTGCGACTCCGTTTCTCAAGCCAGGCCATCGTCACCAGCCTCCTGGTCAGCGGCGCCACTTGGCAGCAACCGATTGGTCCCGCGACAGTTCAACTTGCCAATTGGCAAGAGTGGCGGCGAACGGTCGTTTCCGGTTCGATCCTTGTCGCAACGCGCGCGATCGTCGCTTTGCTCCCCAGGTGATATCCACAGCTCGAGTTGAGTGGTGTAGCATGGTTTCAGACTCGATGTCGTGTACGAGCTCGACGGTGATTAATTTGTTTTGAACTGATCGGCAGGGATATTCTTTGGTATGACCTCATTCAGTTACCCTCCAGCCGTTGCGTTGACGCGATTGCCGCGCGGCTCCCGTGCGCTGTTTTTTTTTTTTTTTTTTTTTTTTTTTTTGTCTCCCGCCTTCATTCCCGTTATAATCTTCTTCTCGGTTTGCTTCAGGCCAACCAAGCCGGCAGCCGTTCTCCAGCAGCAGCAGCGGCGGCGGCATGAGCGAGTCGCTCTCTAGCCCGCTAATCGCGGCCGCCAGCAGCGGCAACGTCGCCGGGCCGTCCAGCTCTGACTCCGCGGTCGCGCGGAACGATGGTAACGGGGGTAACGGCGGCGCACGTGCGCTGCGGATAGCGGCGGTGGCGGCGGCGGCGGTGGTGGCGGCGGCAGTGGGAGCGACGGTGTGGGCAGGCGGACCGTCGAGTATCATTTCCGTGTTCGCGAAGTCTGGGTTCACCGCCGCGTTCTCTCTGATCTTCGTCTCCGAGATCGGTGATAAGGTGACCTGCGTTGACCTGCGTTACTTGCGTTGACTTGGTTTGACCTGAACACAGCTGGTTTGAGCTTGGTTGAGTTCAGCTGGGTTTAGCTGGGTTGGGCTGGGGTAATTAGATGAGATGAGGTGAATATGCAAGTGAGTTTGCTTTTTTGTGATTGGCTACTGAGTTGTTTCACTCTTCGGCCAGACAGTTTTTTTCTGTAGCTTGTCCGTTTCCCAATCAACCTCGTCGTTGCTGTCTGCCTGCCTGCCTGCTGCTGCTGCTGCCCCACCTCTCCTTCTTTACCCCGTTCTTTCTCATTCACCCCAGCTCTCTGCCTGCCTGCCTCCCTCCCTCCCTCCCTCCCTCCTTGCCTGCCTGCTTGCCCCGCGATCCACGGCAGACGTTCTTCATTGCGGCGCTACTGGCAATGCGCCACTCCAAGCTGCTCGTGAGTTATTCCCGCCCGCACTCGCCCCCACGTCCCACTTCACGTCCCCCCCACCTCCCTCTCCATACGCCTCCCTTGCTCCCTCGGTAGTGTTCAGTCACCATAGAGAGTTTTCACTTTTTGGATAGTAATGCGGCTCGGGCCTTCCTGGCTTCTTCTCCCTCTCTATAGGTCTTCATGCTAACTGTCCCCGTTATCATCAGCCCCCTTTTCCGTCGCCCCGTTAGCGTTAGACTCATTTAGCTCTCGGTACTAGTAGCACCGCACTCCTTTCCCCCCACCCTCCCCCACCCCATCCCAACCCATCCCCGCCTCCTGCCCGTCACCCTTTGCGCCCGCTCCTCACCCTCCCCCCTTCCCCCCTACCAGATGCTGTGCGGGGCAGTGTCCGCGCTGGGCATCATGTCCGCCACCTCTGCTGGCATTGGCCGCCTCCTCCGCGAAGTGTCTCCCCCAAACCCAACCCCCCAACTCCCCCCTCCCCCTCCCCTCTCCCCTCTCTCCCCCCCCCTACCAGGTGCTGTGCGGGGCAGTGTCGGCGCTGGGCATCATGTCCGCCATTTCTGCTGGCATTGGCCACCTCTTCCGCAAAGTGCCTTCCCCCAAAGCCAACCCCCCTCACCCCCCACCCTCACTCTCCCTCCCCCGCTACCAGGTGCTGTGCGGGGCAGTGTCGGCGCTGGGCATCATGTCCGCCATTTTCGCTGGCATTGGCCCCCTCTTCCGCGAAGTGTCTCCCCCATCCCAACCCCCCAACTCCCCCCTCCCCTCTCCCCTCCCCCCTCCCCCCCTACCAGGTGCTGTGCGGGGCAGTGTCGGCGCTGGGCATCATGTCCGCCATTTCCGCTGGCATTGGCCCCCTCTTCCGCGAAGTGTCTCCCCCATCCCAACCCCCCAACTCCCCCCTCCCCCCTCCCCTCTCCCCTCCCCCTTCCCCCCCTACTAGGTGCTGTGCGGGGCAGTGTCGGCGCTGGGCATCATGTCCGCCATCTCTGCTGGCATTGGCCGCCTCTTCCGCGAAGTGCCTGCACAGCTGCACACCTGTGAGTGTCATCGCACTCTCCCTCTTCCCTTACTCGCTCTCACCTTCCTTGCTCTCCCCTCCACCGTCTCCCTTTTACCCTCTCTCCCCCACGCTCTCCCCTCTACGCTCTCTCCCCCACCCTCTCTCCCCCACTCTCTCCCCTCCACTCTCTTCCCTCCACCTTGTGCCACTCGCCTCTCCACTTCTCTCCATTCATCCCCCCTCCCTCTCACACTCCCTCTTTCTACCTGAACAACCCTCACTCTCCGCCCTCCTCGTTCTCTCCATCCAGCAACCGTCTGGCATGCAGCCATCACAGTGAGAAAAAACTTGAGTCGACTAAAGACTCGTTCTCCCATAAACGCCACCCCACCTTCTCTTCGTCCCCCAATAACCGCCCCTTCTTTCAGCCATCCCTGTGGGCGAGTACCTGGCGTGTGCGCTGCTGGTGTGGTTTGGAATCCGCTCCATCCAATCCGCTCTCAAGCTGCCCGCCTCGCTCATGCACTCCGCGCGTCCTTCTGCACAGCCAATCCTTCCTGGTGGCACTCGCTAATATCCTGCCACTCACCACTTTCCTGATTCACTGCTTCCCCCCTCCTCCCCTCCCCCTCTCCCTCCACCCTTCCCCCCTTCCCTCCTCTCCCTCCTCTGTCCCCTCCCTTAACATCCACTCCCCCCATGCAGCCATCCCCGTGGGCGAGTACCTAGCGTGTGCGCTGCTCGTGTGGTTTGGAATCCGCTCCATCCAATCTGCTCTCAAGCTGCCCGCCTCGCCCATGCACTCTGCCCCCGCTGCTGCTGCTGCTTCTGCGCCGGCTGCCGGCTCCGCCGCTGGGGCAGCGGAGGGGGACGAGGAGGAGGGGGAGCTGGCAGAGGCGAGGGAGTTTGTGGAGAAGGCTGAGGTGAGGGCGGGGCGTCCATGTGTGATGTCGTGTGTGCGTGTGCGTGTAAAATTGTATGTATGGGTGTGCGAGGAGGAGCAGACGAGGAGGGGGAGCTGGCAGAGGCGAGGGAGTTTGTGGAGAAGGCTGAGGTGAGGGCGTGTGTGTGCGAGGCCATTTGTGCGTGTGTGCGAGGTCATGTGTGCGTGTGTGTGAAAGTGTATGTATGGGTGCGCGAGGAGGAGCTGGCAGAGGCGAGGGAGTTTGTGGAGAAGGCTGAGTAAGCGGTTGTGCGAGGTTTTGCGTGTGTGTAAAAGTGTATGTATGGGTGTTTCAGAGGATCAGGTTGAAAGGGGGATGAAGTGAGGGGGAAAGGAGTGAGGTGGAAAAGAAGTGAGGGGAAATAAAGTGAGGGGGGGATGGAGATTATGATATTTGACGCATACACACATAAAGTTCAGGTTCCCTAATGCATGTGCGTTCCTTAATTTCAATCTGTGCGTGTGCCGTGATCATAATCTTTCTCCATGGCCCATATGTCCTCGTGCAGGCAGAGAAGCCAGTAGCCACTTCTCTGGAAGTCTTCTGGGAGGCCTTCTCCCTCATCTTTCTTGCAGTATGTCTTCATCCGTCTCTACTCCTGCTCTCTCACTCTCTCCCCGTCTACAAGCAGTAAATCTCCCCGTTGCATTGTGGTGTGTATTGACTAACATGCTGCTGTATGCATGTGCATGCCTATGCATCCCCGTCTCCCCCTCGTGTTTCCACATTCGTCTCGCCCGACCCTTCAAACCTGCTCGCATAGCATCAATCCAACCCTGTTCCCTTCCCGCTTTGCATCAACATGACTCTACAACTCTGTTCCCGCAAACTTCTTCACAGGAATGGGGAGACCGCTCAATGCTTGCCACCATTGCACTCGGAGCAGCCCAGGTGTGTGCGTGCACTGGGGCACCCCCCCTCCCCATCAACACCCAAAACCCAGAATCCCGCATGCTGTTTCTCATGCTTGTGCTGCTATTGCTGTGTTCTCTTCTTTGCCCGAGCAGCAGCCTACATTCATGCACCACTCATTTCGTCTCTTTCCCATCCCATCCCCGGACCCCGGTCCACCTCCCTTCCGCCGCCCTGTCTCCTCCTCTTTCCCCATACTTCCCGCTGTCCCCTCCTGTCCCCCTTACCTCCTTCTTTCCTTCCCTGTCTCTTCTCATGTTCCCTCTGTCTCCCTCCCATCACGCTCAGAATCCTGTGGGGGTGGCGATGGGGGCCACGGTGGGGCATCTCCTGGCAACGGGCCTGGCAGTCATAGGAGGCGCACTGCTCTCCAAGCACATATCCGAGCGCTTTGTATGCTCCCCGTGCCCCTCCCGTGCCCCTCCCATGCCCCTCCCATGCCCTCCCGTGCCCCTCCCATGCCCCCCCATGCCCCTCGAGGACCTCCTTCCCGCCCCTCCCATGCCCCCCCATGCCTCCTCCAAACACAACATTGAGCCCTTCTCCATTTTGCTATTGCCTTTCGTATAGCAACGGCCTTCTGTCGTGGTTGCCTTCTCCTTTGGCGTTTAGCCTCTTACCACATGCCAGTCCTCCTCACCTGCCTCTCCACATCCTCCCTCCTGGTTCCCCACTTTCATCCCACCTCCCCGTTCCAACCCAGTGTGCTTCTACCCCTCCTTCCCCCCCTTCTCCTCCTGTCCCATGCGTAACACTATGCGCGTCCTGCCTCCCTCTGTCCTATCATCCCCCTCTCTTTCCATGCAGATTGGCATTGCTGGCGGGGTGCTCTTCCTCATCTTTGCAGCTGCCACGATCTTTGGTGTCTTTTAGAACAAACATTAACGCGCACAATAAAACAACTCTTTCCAAATTCACCTACTGTAGTAGCATGACCTGTGGCTTGCTTTCTCCGTCAGTTATGAGATGTAAAAGAAATCCAGTTCTGATTCTGCCAAGTTTTTTGGTTTCCACAAGGCACTGATGCAGTGTTTCCTTGGTACTACGGTATACATACCTGGACGCTTGAGCACAGCCCAACCAATCACTAACTGACTTCTGCAGTGCAAATCAGACACATGGACCATATTGGTACCGTATTACGGCGCACTGCACATATTGCTGTGATATGATCCATGTTCACTCACCCACAACAAGCCTACCGGTAACTCTTTACCACACCATTGCAGCTGGTGGTATGTGAAGCCACCTCCACACATCAACCATTGAGGAGATTACCGGTACCGTCACCCCCCGGATATACCCCCATGGGGGGCAATAATAAAACAGGTTTTTTCAAGGGGGTGGGCTTATAATCGAGTAAATTTATAAGCGCCGGCGTTTATAAAATGACATTCATATTTTTTTATATTTTTGAACACCAAACTGTAGGTCTCGTGCTTGCCCTTTCAATCGAGTCGAAGTTACATGGGGTCGTCTGTGAAATTCTCGCGCCCGCTGGGAGACACACCCAATCTGACTCACATCCAGCTCCTGGCAGCTCCTGACAGCTCCTGCTGACTGGACCCGCATCCAGTGCAGGGTCCGAATGTGAAGGGAACCGAATGTGCAACATATCTGCCTGCTAAAGTAAAAATCATTACAACGTTTTGTACACATTTCAAATTTTAAAGTTTACGTGCGCTTATAATAAAACTAGTTTTTTTCAGGGGGTGCGCTTATAATCGAGGAGGGGATATAAGCGCCATATGCCAATTAGAAGCGCCAGGCGCTTATCCTAGGGTGGCGCTTATATCCGGGGGGTGACGGTACCTTGTCTGTTGTGGCTAGGTTGCATCTGTTGGAAACATGTAGTTTGCACTTCTGATGTGTTGAAACACTGAGTCGTAAGCGAGGCGAACGATAACGAAGCAACAGGAAGTTTTTGTTTTGAACTAGGCTTGCCAGCGCAAAAGTGTTGGCTAGCAGAAACCTGGATTTCGTGCGGACACTTATCCTCCTCAACAATGTGCACTATCGCTTTACGGTAAGTGAAGGTCAAAGGTCAGCGACCTTTGACTCGCCGAAGGCAGCGCGACAGCAATGACACATAACTGACTCGATATTGAGCAGTTACCCAAATCGTCGATGTATCGAACCACAACAGCGGTTACAGTTGTCAAACTATATCTGTACTAGTTTTGTGTAGGCTATAGTGGGTAGCCCATATGGGGTACAACCCAATATTAGGGTTAGTACTTGTACCCACGATTCATCATTCTAGCTTCTCATCTTGACATGGTTTCAGAACAGTAGGTCCGTAGGACCGTTTTTTCGGGCCCACCATTTCGACTGCGGTTACCGCATTACCCCACCGCCTGTAGCCCCGCACACCGCCTGCCCCTGCCGCGGCCGCCTGCTATGCCCTGCGCGCAGCCCGCCCAGCTGCCCTGCCGGCCGCCTGCAGCCTCGCGCGCTGCCTGCCACAGCCGCGGTCGCCCGCTACGCCCAGTGCGCCGCACGCTCTGTTGCCCTGCAGGCCGCCTGCAGCCCTGAGCGCCGCCTGCCACAGCCGCGGCCGCCCGCTACGCCCAGCGCGCCGCCCGCCCTGCTGCCCCGCCGGCTGCCTGCTGCCCCGCGCGCCGCCTGCCTACTCAGCCCGCGTGCCGCCTCTGCGCCTGCCCCTATTGCAGCCGCCCGCTTCAGCCCAGCGCGCTGCCCCTGCTACTGCTGCTTGCCTGCAATCGCTCGGCCCTGCCAGTTCCGCGCCAGCAGCTATAGCCACCTTTCGCGTTCTGTCGTTCGATACTGAGGGCCGCCCGATTCAGTTCGAGACTTGGCTCGATGACCTGCAGTTGTTCCTAATGAGCGATAGCAAGGACAATGTCTCTCTCTTTGACCACATGTCTGGTGCCTCAGTCGCTCCTGCTGCCACAGCTGAGCTTAGCGCCCGTTTCCAGTGGCAGACTCGTGTCGTTGCTGCTCGCCTAGCCGTTCGCAACCACCTGCTGTTAGCCGAGCTCACGCATTTTGGCGAACACAAAACCGCTAAGGCCCTGTACGACGCAGTCGTTGCTCGATACTCCTCCCCTGCTTCTGCTGCACTTAGCCACCTCATGCTGCCCTACCTGTTTCCTGAGCTGTCCACCTTTGTCACAGTTGCCGATCTTATCGCCCACCTTCGCACTAGTGACACTCGCCTTCGCGCCGCCCTCCCCAAAGAGTTCTTAGCTAAGAACCCGCCTCCGATGTACTGGACCCTCCACTTCATAGTGACCTGTCTCCCTGACTCTCTTCGCTTGGTCAGGGACCACTTTCTTGCTCGCTGTCCCACCGATCTCACTGTCGACCTTCTAGAGGAGCAGCTTCTAGCCGCCGAGATAAGCATAGTCACTGTAGGTGCTGCTCGTGACGCTCCTCGCACCCCCATCTTTGAGGGGTGCTCTCCCTCTCCCCTCACCCCCTCCTACGCTACTGCCGCTGCTGTTGACTTCCTTGGTGCTGATTCTGCTCCTAGTGGGAGGCACTGCAGCGACAGCCAAGAGTAGTGGAGGTGGCACCAGGAGGGGTGGTGGTGGATGAGGTGGAGGAGGAGTAGGTGGCAGAGGGAGTGGTGGCAGGAGTGCTGACGGGAGTGGTGGCGTCGGTGGCGGCGATGGGAGTGGCGGTGGAGGCGGTGGCGGCAGAGGGGGTGGCGGCGGCGGTGGCGGTTGGGGCGGCGGCGACGGTGGCAGTTGGGGCGGCGGCGGCGGCGGTGGCGGTTGGGGCGGAGGCGCTAGCGCTGGCCAGAGACAGCAGCAGCAGCAGCGTCCCTGTGAGGCTCTTACGCCCCAGCAACTTCATGAGTGGCTTGCTTAGCATGGGACGTCTGGGGGTAGTGGTCGCTGCCCGTATGTCAATCGCACAAGTGACCGCGCTGGTCAGACATGCGGGAAGTTCCACACCCAGAACCGCTGCTTCTCCCGCCTTGATGACGCCTAGCGTGAGGAGATGGGCGAGGAAGTCGAGCGCCCTCGTTGGCATGAGCTGCTTAGGGCTGGTGTAGACATCTTTGCTCTTGACTATGATGCTATCCTTGCTGCCGTGTACGCATTGACTATTAGTGCTGAGGGAGACTTTTACTTGTGTGTGCCGCCTGACCCAGGTATAGAGGCTGCTGCCTTAGGTGCGAGCGAGTCCGCTCTCTCAGGTACTGCGCCTACTGAGGCCTTGCACACCTTCACGCTTGACTCAAGTGCTTCCCGCTGTTTCCTTCGTGACAGTACTGCACTCACACCACTCACTACAGCTATTGAAGTCTCTCTGGTTGACCCCTCAGTGGGCCCAGTTTTTGCACGGTCCACCACTGTGCTCCCGTGACCGGCAGTTTCGTTTGGCTCACTGTCAGACCTACACCTCCCCTCGTTCTCTACGAACTTGATGAGCAACGCAGTTCTCCAGGACCAGAGGGTTGACACCTTTACCCCTGGAGGATAGTGTGTGGCGATCTGTACGTGCTCCCGGACTGGCCGCCACCTTGTCACGTTTACCCGTCGACCAGGGTCGAGTCTTTACACACTGACGACTGCGTCTCCTCAGGTAGGTGCTACTGGTCAGGTGTCTACGTCAGCTCAGATAGCCTCCTCTTGTTCGTGTCGCTCCCTGTCGCACCAGACTCTTCTCTAGCACCACCGGATGGGTCACCCCTCCTTGCCACGTCTTTGTGGCATGCACCGTCGCCTCCTTGTGTCTGGTCTTCCCAGGTCTCTCCCTCCCCTCCCTGCCTCGCGTGCGCCACCCTGACTTTTTGTGTCGAGGGGCGGCAGCGCACCACTCCTCACTCCTCCTTGTTTCCTCCGACACATGCTCCCGTGCAAACCCTCCATATGGACGTGTGGGGCCCAGCCCGTGTTCGTGGACAGGGCGGCGAGCGGTACTTTCTGCTGGTTGTCGACGACTACTCGCGTTACACCACGATCTTCCCCTTGCGCACCAAGGGTGAGGTCCCTGCTTTCCTGATCCCCTGGATCTAAGCAGTTTGTCTCTAGCTCCGCGAGCGGCTCCGACAAGACTTTCCTGTCCTGCGTCTGCACTCTGAAAGAGGTGGTGAGTTCTCCTCCGACCTCTTGTGAGCCTTCTGTTAAGGGTAGGGCATCCTCCAGTCGTTCATGCTTCCGGGCTCACCGCAGCAAGTTGCTGAGCGCCGCAATCACTTGGTCATGGAGATCGCTCGTACCTCTTTGATCCATGTAGCGGCTCCCTATTATCTGTGGCTGTTTGCTGTCCGATACGCTGCGCAGCAGCTCAACCTCTGGCCCCGTGTCTCCTTGCCGGAGACCTCGCCCACACTACGTCGGACGGGAGAGGTTGGCGATGCGTCGGTGTTCCGAGTCTGGGGTGCTTGTGCCCTTGTCCGCGATACGTCCGCGAACAAGCTCTCCTCCTGCACCATTCCCTGTGTCTTCCTCGACTTCCCCCCCTGACGCGCCTGGCTGGCAGTTTTACCAACCCACCTCACGCAGTGTTCTCTCCTCTCAGGACGTCACCTTTGACGAGTCGGTTCCTTTCTACCGTCTCTTCCCCTACCGCACTACCCCTCTCCCTCCCCCGCCGCTTTTCCTCGCTCCAGTTCCCCCTCCGGTAGACCCCCTCCCCCCTCAGGGTCCTGCTCCTCCATGTGTGTCTCAGGTAGACCCACTCCCCTTGGCTGAGCCTGTAGAGGTCACTAGCAACTCAGGTGCTGCTGCGGGTGGTGCTGCTCGGGGTGCTGCATCGGGGGGTGCTGAGCTTGTGCGTGAGGTGCTGGGGGGTGCAAAGCCTGGGGGTGCTGAGCCTGCGAGTGCGGAGCCTGGTGGTGTTGAGCCTACGAGTGCGGAGCCTTAGGGTGCTGAGCCGGAGGGTACCGGGTCTGGGGG